GCCATGCACCAAACTTTGGCTAATAGCTGAGATAAGACTTGTTGTTTGAGGAAGCAGCAAAGTCACAGCAGATTATCTAGAAAGGACTTTTTTTTTTTTTTTAAGAAACTCAGATTAAAGGTCACAAAAAGAGGGATAGTAAATCTTAAGCAGGGGTGTCCAGAATCCCAAACAGCTATTTACTAGTAAATTAAAATTAAAAGAAAACCCTTACTATTAAAAAAAAGTTTAATTGGTCACTGAAATTCTTGTGCTAAAAACTTATAAAAGTTCCCACTGGAGAGACAAACATGTAGTATTCCTGAACTGTAAACAGGGGCCACACAGAGTTGTTCCAAGGGCCACAAATGGCCCCCAAGCCTCACTTTTACACCCCTTTCCCTAGAGTGAAAGTTAATTCCATGTCAAATAAACTAAGATGGTCTCATGATGCATTTAAGATGAGGTGCATGTAAGTGAGTACATTAAAAATGTTACATGGGTCTGAATGTGAGGAAAGCAGAAGAAAATCAAATTCTGTCATGTTTTAAAGTGTTGGTAGTGCAGGTATATCAGGATCAGAGGAGCTTGGAGTTCTGCCGTGTCAGGACAGGGTGTGGTACTTTCTGGTGACCTATAATGCTAAATTCAAATTTTGCATGATTTTGTACTTCCATGTGGATCTCAGCTGCTTTTAGAAACAGCATAAGTTTTTTTTTTTTTTTTTTTTAAAAAACTACCAAGCCAGTTTTTGCCATTAAGTTAGTTTTTTGATGTCTAGAAAATGAGCCATTTCAAAACCCTCCCAATTCTTAAGTCACATTTCAAAGGCACTGCATCATTTTTTAGCAATTCAAGCTGAGCCCCAGCACATTTGGTCAGCTGGTTTCACCACTGTGAAATCAGTGGTGAAACCAAAAGGTCAAGTGTTTATTCCCATCTTCCCAACCAGAGTTCTTGTTGGCTGTGCAGGAGCCTCTACTAATGCTTTTCAAAGATGTACAGTTGTATAATTGCGTGTGCAGCCATTTTCACGCACCAATATAAACGCTGAGTTGGGGGCGTGGCCAGCAGCAGCTTATTTGGATTTAAAGTGACAAGACGTCCTAAAACATCTCATTCTGAAACTCAAAATAGGCAGAACTTGACCAGACTAACTTAGAATTAGTAATGATTTTGTGGAAAAAGAATCACCCATAAGACATAAGTTTCAGATACTGTTCATCTTCCTTTAAATGTTCATGAAGTAGTATTGGTCAAGAACACTTCAGAAAGTTACATGAGATCCATGTTGTACATCAGTAAAGGACTCGATCAGCTGCTGTATCGCCCCACGGTGGCATTAAGGAGACAAAACGAGTCCCTTGTTCTTTTCGACCTGTTTAGATCCTGAGTGTAAATACACGAAGAACAAGATGTGGTAAAAATCCACGCATCGGTGCCCTGTCAACAGCTGCTCCTCTGGAGAGCAATCATCACTGACTCAAGCCGTCATGTTGATGGATCTATCAGTGCCTGGCGCGGGTCCCAGAAGTCCCTGGCTTTGTGGTTGGACCATATTGTCGGCGCAGTTTGAGACCCAGCACCAGGACTCATAATCCTTTTCTCGTGCCACAAACACCTACTGACAACTTTAATTAGAGCCTCGGGAGAGAGAAAGATGTCTTCAGTCCTTTCATAGTCGGGTGGGCATGAAACACAGTTCTTCAAGTGTTTTTGTTGTAAGGCGCGTTCTGTCTGTAAAAATGTGTTGTTTGTCCTTTATTTGGATGTCCTGTGATAATACTTATTAAAGGTTCAGTGACATGAGTAATTATTTGATCTTAAAGCTCAAGAGACTCCAGGTTTGTAAAAACAGGCTCAAATTTAGACTAGCAAAAATAGTTTCAAGGGTTTAAATGTATCTGTAAAATCTATTGTCCAGTTCATTTACGGCTTTATTCCTGCCTGTGGGCAATCTATTGTTTCAAATAATAACTATTGTTGGTGTTGCAGTTCAAATCAAAACCCTGTTTGGACATAATTCACATTTTGTTTTTCACTAAAAATTTGCATGAAAATTGGATAGGAACATGACTGTCTGCTCTTCATTTCAAATGTTTGCAAATCTTTGTCGAAAAAATACAGTTTCCCAATTGCAATGTTTCCATTAAATAAGAAATGCAATCAAAATCACAGTGAATAAGTTTGAGTTCTGCTGGGGTTGCTAGGTAACGGGCGGGATTCCGCTGGGGTTGCTAGGTAACGGGCGGGATTCCGCTGGGGTTGCTAGGTAACGGCATTCCGGAAGTATAACTGAAACCTGTTCCTGCCAACAAAATGCCCTCATGAAGCAAACCTTTATGAAACGTAAGTGAACACTGCATAAATTGCAGACTTAAAATGTTTAGATGAGATCAAGTGACCTAGGATGAGTCTGAAGGTGGGACTTAATCGCTCTAAATGGTAAAACTGTTGCATAACATGCATGAAATCAACCGTGAACATAGCTTCCCATCACAGGACCGGCTGCTATGGGAATTGGTTAAAACAGGAATAAAACCGTGCTAAATTTGAGATCTCTATCAGAGTTTTAAATAACACACAAATACATTCAAAAGAAACCGTAGTCCAGATTGATGCATCAATCTGCACCTCTGCTGCCTTCCTTGTGACTGCAGGGTCTAAACAGCACAGAAAGATCTTGTTTGTGAAAGTCCCCATCATGACACACAACACGGCCAGACACCCACTGCTGCCTGCGCCGTGGCTGACAAGCGACTAATGACTTTCAATGAGGGTTTCTGCAAACAGCCTCATGAATTAGTCATCGCCTTCCTTGACCCGTGCGTTGATACGATCTCAGCCGGCCGCCGCAGCCTCCTGAGGACCAGATGGGTTATGTAAGCTTACAGATAGTTGACTGGAGAGATCGGATGCAGAGAACGGGACGAAGCTTTGCAGTCAGGAGCACTAATAGTGATTGATGGTGGCAATCTGTAGTTAATGCGAGAGTTGTTGCTTTATGACTGCGTTTAATGCATCAGTAATAGGTACTTCACACGTGCTTTGCTTACCAGGGAACAAAGATTTGCATGTTTGATGGTTGATTAAAGCAGTGATGTTGCGTTAATAGTTGGAAACTACAACAGNGTATTGCTTACTATTAAAAAATATATTAAATAAATTACGAGAATAAAGTCACAACCCTATGAGGACAAAGACAAAATATTACAAGAATAAAGTCGTAAAATTGACTCTAGAAATACGACGACCTTATTCTTGTACTACCTTCTTATTTTATGACTTTAAAATAATTTTTTCCTTAGCGTGGCCCTAATACTCCATCGTAGGAAACCAGAGAAAAGCCAATGTTTTCAGGTGGAGCAATCTGGTGCATTTTAAAGGTTTTTCAAGCCAGCTTTTTTTCCCCAGAGGACGATGTTTCTGCTTTTTATTTTATGTAAATTGCACACAGTTTACGTATAAATATTAATCAGACGTGGCAAATATAAAAAGACGAAAGGCCTTTTGGTCAACTTGTGTTTGCGGAGACGTTCAAGTGATTTTAAATGTGAGAGATCGTCCACATCTTAAAACTCAATTAGTAAAACAACATGAGAAGCTAATGATGGAAACTCACTGATTCATTACCCTCTTGTGTTTCTATGATGCCTGACATAATGACCACGTATTAAAAATGTTACCAAAGACTCTTTAATGAACAGAATATAATGTGGAGGGCTCCACTGAGCACAACATGAAGTGTAATTATGTCCTTCAATGAAAAATTAAGCTCAATGCAAAATGGGCCCAATTTTATTTTTTTGTATAAACGCAAAACAATCCGAGTCTTATTTCCATGTTGTCCTAAAACAATATCTCTCACATTTGTCTATGAATCTTGTCTCAACTTTACGTCAAAGTGTTAATTTGTTTTGTAAAGCAGATAAAATCTCAGGGTTGCCAGATCTGACAGTTTTCAGCCCAAAAACGACGTAAAACCTGTCCAACTCCAAAAAACCAAAGCAAATCATGTTGATGGCGCCAGATTTTACATATAAGACACGTTGCATGTAATTTGCAAATTTTACACATGTGCACTACACTGGAGGACAGAAACACGATTCTTTTACATTGACAGTCGCGTTGCCGCTGTAGAACGAATCCAATAACAGAATTAATTAGGCATCGTTAGTTTACTGCACTGCGCCACAGAAAAGGGAAAAATAACGCAGAAAAATATTGAAGAATAAATCAGAACCGCTCACTTTTTTTTTTGCTTTGCCGGCTACGCTACCCACAGACTTGTTGCTGTAGCAACTGACAACAAAACTGCTATAAATCAAGATTCAACGCCCAAAAACACACAAACATTTCTCACACAATGAACAGAACATTCAGTCTGTTGCAGTTTTATGTTTTTAGGCTTGATTTTTATTTTGGGATTTCTAAGTGGTTGTCTGAACACAGCGGTGGTCGGTTAGCTGAGTTTAACCGCCTGCTCCTGATCTGTCAGAGTTGGTGTGTAGGTCGCCTTTTTTTGCTGTTTTTTAACTGAACCGAAACACACAGGATTCCACAGCACATCTACATGCTACGGTTGTCAAAGTCAAGCTAGCATCACCTGACATATTAAGAGGAATTTTGATTCTCTACTTCCCTCTTCCTCGCTATTTTTTAAAAACTTTTTTCTGACCTGATCCAGTTGTCCTAGTGTTCACAATTGGTAGCAAAGCTACCAATTGCTTCACTGCTTCTCCGATGGTAGTCACTGTTGGTGAGCAGCTTTTCCCCTTGATTTTCCCCATGAAGTCACATTGGAACGTGTCTAAATGTTTAAAATAAGTTTCACTGCTCTAATAAAACAGGTTTACTCTTTGGTTTACTGGGATGTACCTTTAAATTGGTGAATTAAACTGTTATGAAGTGGCGACCTGGTTTGCCCTCCAGCAGGAAGCTGGGGCGGGATCCTGTGCGTTTGATGCGTCTATATAATCAACAGCATTCAGGTTTAACAACAAGCCTATTCATTTTTCCAGCTGAACGTGTTCAAAAGAAGCCGTGAAAACGATGCGACGGTCATCACAGATTGAGAGATACCCAACTGAGCATTCATACAACCGGCGCTTTTCCCACATCCAGCGCGGGTCATATGGGACGTAGGACCGTCGGGCTCGGAGAAAGCGCTGTGGCCTGCTGTGCCTGCGAAGTCACACAAGAGTCACAATCTGTGCTGCTTCTGGTTTGCAAGACGTCTGCAGGCCGGGGCAGATGGGAGCGAGAGCTGCGTCATCTGGCGTCGCCGTGGCAAACGGGGCACCAAGGAAACCTTCGTGTAACGAGATCCGCGCTGAGCTGACGGTGAAACCTGTCGCCCTGAGCGGAGAACCGTCATCCAAACCTCAATGAAACTGTATCCAGAAAATACTTTAAAACAGAAAGAGGGCTCCACATGACTGTCTGAAAATATGAAGTAACACAAGTAAAAACAATTGAAACAAATCCTAGAGGATGAACCAAAGGATAAAAATTTGTTTATATGACGAGTTTTGTGAGCAGGAAGTGAAGGAGTCTACGACCACAGAACCTTCAGTCCATCACAGTTTTATGTTTTCAGACTTGATGTTTATTGATTATTAATAAGTGATTAGTAGTTGATTACCTTACTTACAGACCCATTCAGCCTCATGATGGCCATTACTGGTTTCAGCTGTTGAATTGTCAACATTATGTCTGAACTAAAATGATCCGCTTTGGGTCGCATTGGCCTGCTGTGTTGATGTGTTTTGCTCTTTATGCAACCATGTTTTTGCAGCTTTTTAATATTTTCCCCTAATATATTTGATTTTCAGCTCAGTCACAAACACAATTGACCCTTTGCAAGTCACAAAATCATTCGAAGCGCCATGATGGACGTTGGAAATGAGGATGGGGAGTGTTGAACTGATCAGTGACTGAAACTGTTTACCAAAGTTGTTTTATCGGTTTATTCATGGCTTCTTCTTGAACGTAACACACCTGGCTGCAGCTCATAGAGGCGCTAGCTAGCTTAGAAACCGACCCGAACCTCCTCCCACCTGACGTGTTGATCTAATTACCGGCTTTCCCTGGATTCACACCACATGATTTGTCACTATGTCATGAACAGCGTTTCCCTTTTACACCGCAGCAGCCTTAAAAACGCACAAAAAACGAGATGCTAATCAGTTTTTACCCACGCATGCTAGGCTACATGACGGCGCAGCACTGTTTCCATGGTTACTGATGGTCAGACACGTACCTTCTCCATAAGGCAATATTTGATATTTTTCTAATCATATTTATTTATAAAGCATATGAACGTTGTAAAAAGTGTTCGCTGGAAATCCGTGATTAAACCGACAGTCGATTGCCGGCTGCTGTCAACCACCGCGCATCTTTCCTCATTAAAGTTATAAAATAAAATGAGCAGTTTGGTTTTCACCCTTGTCTATTTGAGCTGCATCGAAATCAACTAAATAAAAGCGACATTAGATTACTATGACTACTACATGTGCGGTTTTTAAAGTGGTTGTTATGACGTCCGTCATGGTGGAGTTTGAAGAGAGTGACGTCACGTGCAGCGTCAGTAAACAGCAGAATAAAATAAAACATGTCGCTAATGAGTATTAAAAACCACGCCGATGCATTTGTCTCGGTTTATTTATTTCATTGGCGAAGTTTCAGATTTTTATTTTTTTTTTCTTGGTGCTGCAGGTGGATGTGATTTCATCATTAGATTTAATTGGTTTCACCTGCTGCTGTTCTGTCTCTCACCTGGATCCACGCAGCCCTGAATCCTTGTTCATTAGACAAAAGGTGGGTTTAACTTTTCACAACCGAAGTTAATCATAAAATACGACGCGGCTGTGGCTCTCGGACGCATTAAGACGATTGCATGCCTCTTCGATCGGCTCAAGTATCCACCGGAGACCGATTCAGGGGGCAATTTTAATTTTGAATCTTGAATTAAATTTATTTTCATTCTGCATGTCGCAATCTACATTTTCATCTTTAATTACGCCGTGACCGAACGTGAACTTTGATTCCCCAGCATGCTTTCCAGAGGAGCTAATTTTCTCCGCACCTCCGACTGATGTGGGACGGAGCGAGGGGCAAAGGGGGAAGAGCTGGATGTGATTAAAGCAGATGGAGGGAACCAACGGAGGCAGAGGAAGGTGGAGAAAGATGGGGGTTACGCAGCGCTGCATTATGCATCGTGGATCAGATGCCTGGGTGGCTTGTTTATGGCTTGGTGTCAAGAGTTCAACTCCTACTTCCTGCTCCGTTTCCATGACAGCAGCAACAAATATTGTCCTTGACTTTGAGTGATGGCGGGCGTCGAGTAAAAAGGTTTACAGCTGACAGTAATATGAGAGGACTAAGAGGATTGTTTCGGGCGTTTGTATTCATTTGGAAGATGTTCCTCTCGTTGAGATTCGTCCAATTTGCATTTATAGAGCCTCCGCGTCGCTGCACCTACTTTTCAGACTGTATTAGGTCTCCAGATTTCATTTTGAAAGTAAAACGGCTTAAATGAAACATGAGGTGGGTTGATGTATACAGACGAGACGGGATTAATACAGAAGATGAGATGAGACAGACCTTAAGAGTTTATTTTTTAAAGAAGACAAAAACCAGCTCCACCAACCACTTTAAAGAAATGTTGCCTTATTGAATCAGGGTTGCCAGATCTGACAGCTTTCAGCAAAAAAACCATCAAACTTGGAAAAAAACCCAAATCTCAAACTCTAATAAAACTCATTCTAAGATATAAAAAAGAAATACATATATTTATATAAATAAAAATTTTGCATTAACAAAATGAAACCAGAAGCTTGAAGGTATTAATTTAGTGCCCAAAGGGAAAATAATGTAGAGAAAAGTTGAACTCAAAACCACGCTATCAGACCTGTCGCTATAGCAATTGACTTCCAACAGCTCCACTAATGTATCACAATTCAACACCAGAAAACACTCAAACATTTCCCACATAAGAGCAGAACGTTCAGTCAGCTACAGTTTTTATGTTTTCAGGCTTTATGTTTATTTTCCCGTTATTAATTTGCCGCCAATCTGGTTGATTTAAACACCTGCTCTACTGACGATCTGACAGAGTCGGTGTTTAGGTTGCTTAATTTTCCTTTTTTTTAACTGAAGAGAAACACAGAATTCTGCAGCACAGCTACATGTTATGATTGTCATAGTCAAGCTAACATAACTGACTCACTTCTCTCTCTTAATAAAATCTTTTCAGTGATATGTGATGCCCTTTGACCTTTTCTAGTTGTCATAGTGTTGACAATTAGTAGCAAAGCACTGCATCCCTTTTTCTTTTCTAGATGACGTACATTTACGATTTAGTGTCATTGGCTAAACCCAATGGCTTTATCTTGTAAAAGCTACATGTCTTGTATAATTCTGCTTCAGAGATTTCAGTGTTTACTGGGTTGTTAACTAATCATTTACAAGTCATTTCTACCTTGGACAGTGATTTATTTATTTGTTTGTTTTTTAAAGTTAACCCTTTAACTTTGATATTAATTATAAAAAGTTTGGGTTCCTAACTTTAGTCCTGGTGAACACCACTGGAACCAGTCCTGGGTATTTCACCTGTGATCTCTAAATAAATACTTCCAAATTTAAACATTACTACTTTTAATATCTAGTCTTTGATCCTACATAGAGAAAGCGTTTTAAAATTTATGAAAATGGGTGAAGCCCACCTGTTTCTTCTTCTTCACCTGTGTAGCTTTTAAATTCAGGATCTTCTCATTGGGAATTAGCTAATTATTAGACCACACAGACCCAATCAACTCATTTACCATTGACTTATCAACCATTTCTTTGGCACTCTTAAATCTACCGGGTTGCACCAAGGACATAAATAGTTTCAAGAAGCTGAAATGTTACTATTTTCCCCCTAAACTACAATAAAACAATATGTTTATCTTGAGGTAGCTTCTTTACAATCAGAGTTAAAAAGTAATGATGCAGAGACACCAGAATCCTTCAGTGCTTTATATTATTGCTAATATGTTATCTTACTATGACCTTAAAGGGGTTCAAAGTTAATTTAATGACAATTACCAATCATTTAATCAGTCCAAATATAATTGACACATTCTAGAAGGTTAGGAATGAATTAAAATGCTCCAACAAATTATCAGGGTAAGACAAAGAGTTTTTGAGAAAAACTTTGAGAGTACAGATGCAGTATTATCAGACGAAAGACACAAATTACTAGAAAAGCAATCTTAATGAGTACAAACGTTGCTAGTGTTGTGTTTTAGCGTTAGCTTCTGCTAAATGCAATGCTATAACGCTAATGTCATGCTTTAGCATTAGCTTCTGCTAAATACAATGCTATAATGCTAATGTCATGCTTTAGCGTTAGCTTCTGCTAAATGCAATGCTATAACTCTAATGTCATGCTTCAGCGTTAGCTTCTGCTAAATACAATGCTATAACGCTAATGTCATGCTTTAGCGTTAGCTTCTGCTAAATACATTTACAGCTTAAAACTTCAACAAAGGAAGCGGGCAGGAAAAAGTCATTTTTCTCTCTCCTATAAACGTCTAAACTTATATAATTTCACTTTAAAAAATCTGGAGTTGAACCTTTTCCTCTCCCTTTTGCAGGTTTGCAGTGAATGTTGGAAAATCTCGATAAGCGGCGGCTGATCGACCGTAACGGCAGGACATGCAGAGCCGCCGTCCTCGGCCTCTCAATCACAGCGGCTGGCAGGGGGAACCTCGCCCTCGGCTTGTGATCCCTGTAATGGAATATGGTGTATAATCGAGAGGCGAGCTGCTGAGTTAATGAAAAGGGTGGAGAGGTGACATTTTCTGAGGGACGTCTGAAGGAGGGTGACATTTACAAAGAAGAAGCCCCAAAGACGGACCGTTTTTTCATAAGTTGGAGGAATGCAAAGCTGATTTCTGCGCAACTGAAATCCCCAGTTTAGGTAAAGTCAAGCAGCAGTTTGGTTATTTCTCTGAGCAGCTGTGACACGTTACAGACGAGGTTCACACCCGACGCTCACACCTGACGGAGCCGACATGGATTTCTGATAATGAGGTGGGAGAGGAGAGGAAAGAGGTGCAGCTCACTTCTCTGCTGGTGACAGCCAAACAGCAGGGGAGTTTCACAGAAAATACAAATATTTACACTGTTTTTCTGTCCCTCATATAGGCAAATCTCTCTTATTGACTTCCATTAATACGCTAATAGTGGAGCTAATCTTTCGTTTAGCAGCACACCTTCCTTTCCCTAAGCTAACTTTTCCAGATGCATTTAATTTGAAGGACCAATTTACTTGGCATTTTGTAAACTTTCAGTTTGTTTATATTTGTTATCTTGTTTTGAGGTGGGTGAAGATTGTTTAAAAAGAGGTATTGACCCTTTAAACATGACGTCATGCTCTTCAGACTGCGGCCAACTTCACTGTGACTGCGCCTTCGTTAGCGCCTGTAAAGTTTGTCAAAACAAACAAACAAAAAAAACTTGGTCAGCTAACATTTACTTGGTTACTTTGGTCGATTCAGCAAAATCAGCAACGGAGTTAGCAAAACTTAACAACTATGAAATTGAAACTGGTGGTGCGCAATATGTTTCAAAGAATCACTTCCTGATGTGCAAACCGTCCAGATAACTGTCCAAAAACAAATAAGACCCAGAGGAGGAAGATGTAGCACAGTGACAGCGAGTATCAACACTGTTAAATGTAGTGCTTTAGCATTAGCTTCTGCTAAA